CTTCTAGGTGCTTTAAGACAGTTCTTTTCTTAATATTAAAATAGAAATAAATATTAATAAAACATTTATTAAAATTATAATTTATAAGAGTAAAATATTTATTTAAAAATATCAGAAAATGGACATCCAGTTGTTTTAAGATTGTTCTTTCTTAATATTGAAAAATATATATTTAAAATATAATTATTTTTCATAGAAAATAATTTAAATAAAACAATATGTATTTTATGGTTTTTATAAGTAAGATATTTATTTATTTTTAAAATACCAGAATAGAACATCTAGTTGCTTTAAGACTGTCATTTTCTTCGATATTTGAAAAATAAATAAATATTATTAATTAAACAAATATGTATATATATATATATTTATATGACTAATATAATTATAAAATAATAATTAAAATAATTATTTAACATATTGGAATTGAATGATAATAATACAAATTAAATTGTAATTAAATAGTGACTAAAACATATAAAATTAAAATAATAGGATTAAAATATAAAATATAAAAATTTATAGCCCTTATTTAATATTAAAAAATATAATTACTAACGGTGTAATTAACCCTAATTATTAATCGATGATTAAAATAAAAATTATCAAAGTTAAAGGCTCTAACTTGAATAAATAAATAAATCTAAGTACTACTAATGTAATTCAACATTATTTAATTAATTCGGGTTAAAATATAAATTATAAAAATTATAAAGGACTAAATAAGGCATTTAACCTAAATATATAATTATACTAGGGATGACGAAATCATAATTTAACTAAAATTATAAGGCCGAAATGAAATAACCAGGAATTGCTTTTAGTGACTAAATTAAAGAATTACATAACTATAAGGGTTACGGAAAGGGTTTACCCTTTCTGAAATTACACAGATACCCCTCTCCCAAAATGGCGTCGTTTGGGAGGGTATATAAACCCTTTTAATCGACCAAAATGACCATTGCTTCTCATTTTTCCTTTCCCCTCTCTCTCTCTAACTGAGAGAATTTAACATTCTCTCTCGCCTCTCTCTTCAAATCCCTTATCGGAAGGATTAGAGTTCCGGCCGGCAACCATGCTCCGGTGCCGACCACCACCGCCGGGCATCGGATGCGGTGGCCGAAAAAGAAAAAACCCTCAAAAGATAGATCGGCACTACCTAAAACCAATTTAGACCTCTGTTTCCTTTAAATAGTCCCGGTTTTACATAAATCTTAAAAAACTACATTCGGTTTTTTTGATTTTCCGACGACGTTTAGAGTTATGCTCGGTGGTAAGTCTCTCGGTTTTTTTTCTTTTCTCTCGGTTTGTATTTGCTCTCGGGTTTTTGCTTGCTTTCTGTCTGTTGATTATTGTATGCTTGCTGGGTTGCTGTCATTCTCTTTGTTGTTGCGTTGGTTGTTCTCTCCGTCTCCTCTGTTGCTCTCTGTTTTTCCTCTTATTTGCAGGTGAACCAAGGCTTTATAGCTTCGATGAGGCTCTCGTCGAACCGGTCCTAAAGGGATTTCTCGGTGAGTCACCGAACTATGTGGTGACTCACCTCATAGCTGCGACATGGACGGTCGTTAAAGTCTTTTGGAGGCTTCTGGTGAGGGCGACAGCAGCTGGAACGTCGACGTGGGGTGGCTGGAGGTAAAGGCGGCGTCGCGTGGTCCTTAGGGTATCATCACCTTAGGGTTTGTTCTGGATGCGTGTGGGCCGTTGGATCTTGCCAGATCCAACGGCTGGGATCATTGGCGGCTGGTTGAGATGAGGTATAAACACTAATCTAGTTTAGGGTTTCTTTTAGGCTTCTGGATATGGGTTAGTTCGGGTTGTATAAAATGAGCCTGGTTATTGGGCTCTAGTTGGGCCAATAGGTTGTAAATGGCCTGAAATGTAATAATATTTTTTTATTAATAATAATAATAATCATAAATAATATAATAGATTAATAATAAAAATTAAAATAAAAACAAATAGATAAAAAAACGAGTATCTTCAGCCATTATATAGAGAATTACAAATAAAAGTACAGCCAAAATCAGAAAAAGAAAAGGACAATGTCCACTCGAAGACTTCTTTTTTAATTTTGGGTAAATAGTATCTCTGATTTTTATATTATGCGTGTGATTTGAGTCTATGGTTTAAAATATATTAAAGGAAAATATTGTGAATTTAGTCGTCATTTATCATCGTGTTTTTTTTATCATTCACTTATTTTTAAAGAAAATAACAACCCATCTAATATAATAATTCTAAATTTCTAACTTATTATTTTTGTTATCATCTTAATTGATTTATTCCACCAGTAAAATGATAATACATGTTAAAACTAAGGATGCATTTGGTTCACAGAATGTAAGATTACAAGTGAGAATAAAAGATTACCAATGAATATGATTACTGAGAATGTTGTATTTTGTGTTTAGTTGGTTTAGCAGAAATGTAAGATTACAGTGTTTGATTAAAGGAATAAAAGATTATTGGAATGTATATTTTATCAAATTATCCTTATTATATATTTATTTTTTAACAAGTTGAATTCTACTATAATATTACTATAATATATATTTTCTTTAAAAATTTTAAATTCATAAAATTTATATAATTTTTTTACAAAATTAAAAAGATAAATGGATTTAATGAAAGGATAAAATTTTATTTTAACCCCTGAACTTCATATAAAATTCTAATTATGGACTTTTTTTGTAAATCTAAAATAGTTTAAGGATAAATTTGTAATTTAACATTCGTAAATTTTTTTTATTCAACGACAGAAGAATGATTAACTTGAAAAGAAAAATTTTAAGGATATTTTAGTCCAAAACACCGGTAATCCAACAATACCTAAGGAAATGAGGTAATCACATTCATGATAATATACCCCAAAAAAATCCACCGTTGGTAAAAAAAGATTACCGGGGAATAGGATTACCGGCCAACCAAACGGGGGAATGAGGATTCCATTCCCCTGGTAATCCCATATGTCGGGAACCAAACGGCCCCTAAGTGTCATAACACTAAATCCATTTAACATCTAAAACTTGGTGATAAAGTTTGAGAGGGCAACTTAAACCGTAAAAAAAAGTCAGAGATTTAAATTAAAATTTTAAAAATTTTGAAGAGTTTAATTTATTTATTTTTCAATAAAAATTAGGGTCTAATTAAATTTTTGAAAAATTGAGATTATTAATGAGAATTTTTAAAAATTATAGAAATGGGTGTAATTAAGAACATTTAGAAATTTTATAGTTTAATCTGAATTTTTGTAAATTTTGGAGGACCAAATTAAATTTTTTGAAATTTTAAAAGTCTAGATTATAATTTTTTATTTAAAATTTTGAGGGATCATGACTACCATTGGTCCTTATATTCCGCATCGAAAGCAACGTCCTATTACAACACTTGTGGATATTACAAAATTTTTTAAAATTGACATTTCTCCTTTGATTTTTAAGAAAACCTTAAACCTTTGATCAAATTTACACATTAATATAAAGTTTCCATGGTAAAACTATTGGAATTATTGTTCTAGTAAGTGTAAAAAATTATTATTAAACTCAATTTATATGATAGTATGAGGAGTATGGGGAAGACTTTGTGGACATGTTGGATGGAATCTTCTCATTTGTGCTGCTGGACACACGTGACAACAGCTTCATCGTTGCTCGCGATGCTATTGGTGTCACCTTCCTCTATATTGGCTGGGGGTTTGATGGTATATTAAATCTTGCTTTTGCTCAGTTGATAGAAATTTGGGTTAAAACTGGTTTTTGCTAATTCCTTTTCGACTTTGTGTAATCAGGTTCGGTTTGGATATCATCGGAATTGAAAGGGTTGAACGATGACTGTGAGCATTTTGAAAGCTTTCACCCTGGCCATATATATTCTAGCAAATCAGGAGGATTTAGGAGGTGATACAACCCACCTTGGTTCTCCGAGGCCATTCCATCTGTTCCATATGATCCCCTTGTTCTTCGACGTGCATTTGAGAATGTAAGATCGATGACTTGCTACCCAAGGAAAACTTGACACTTATTTTAATCCTGTTATTTTGGCTTACGGATAGCAGCGGATATGTTTTTACAGGCCGTGACCAAAAGACTGATGACCGATGTGCCTTTCGGTGTTTTGCTATCTGGAGGCCTTGATTCGTCACTGGTTGCTTCGATTACCACTAAGTATTTGGCTGGCACCAAGGCAGCCAAACAGTGGGGAGCTCAGCCCCATTCTTTCTGTGTTGGCCTAGAGGTAAGTCGAAAAGTATAGATGTAGAGTATTTAAATGGTTCTTCAAACATGTTTGTCAACTTCTCTGCGGGGTTCGCCGGATTTGGAGGCAGCAAAGGAGGTTGCAGACTATCTGGGCACTGTCCATCATGAGTTTCATTTCACTGTTCAAGTATTGACTCAACTTTTTAATAACATTTTCTGCTGAAGAATTTCTGTTCTTATAGTCCTATAACAAGCTAATTTACTCTTTAATCTGGCAGGATGGAATCGATGCGATCAAGGATGTCATCTATCACATCGAAACTTACGATGTAACCTCTATCAGGGCAAGCACTCCTATGTTTCTGATGTCAAGAAAGATGAGTCACTAGGAGTGAAGATGGTTATTTCTGGTGAAGGATCTGATGAGATCTTTGGTGGATATCTGTACTTCCACAAGGCACCGAACAAGGATGAATTCCACCTCGAAACATGCCGCAAGGTAATACATCGTCTTATTCGGCACTTTACAAGTAGGGGAGTTGGAACACACATAACGAGATCTGGTGTGGTTTGATACATATTTGTGCAGATCAAAGCCCTTCACCAATATGATTGCCTGAGAGCTAACAAAGCAACATCTGCATGGGGATTAGAGGCTCGAGTCCCCTTCTTAGAAAAAGAATTTATCAACGTTGCCATGTCTATCGACCCTGAAGCGAAGATGGTACAGACAAAAGGAACAGTTCAGTGACGGCGTCGGTTATAGTTGGATTGATGGTCTTAAAGCCCATCCTGCACAAATGTAAATGTCATTCTAATTCGTTTTCTCTTGTATGCTTTTGCTGAGTATATTGTTTATAATTTAACAATTACAATCTTCCAGGTGACTGATAAGATGATGTTCAATGCTTCTAACATCTTCCCTCACAACACGCCGACTACAAAAGAAGCGTATTACTACTGGATGATTTTCGAGAGGTTCTTCCCTCAGGTGATTCTCCGAATTCGCAGTTTCAAATGTTGCGGAATATGGATATTAGATAGAGCAAAATCGTAATTGATAATTTGAAAAAATAAAAATGAAGATAAAGAAGACACAAATTTTACGTGTAAAACCCTAAATAATATAGGGTAAAACCATGTGTAACGGTAAAAGAATTTTACTATGAGAAAATATGAATTACAACTTTTCTCGATCTAACAAGAAGAAAACAATAGCAATTATCTCTTGATAAAAAGGAGAATACAACTTTCAAGAAAACTTTCTAAATTCTCTAGTATTGGAAGAAAGCTAAAATGATTTGGGATGATTTTGAAACTAAATGAGTTATGGTGTTTATAGTTGAAGCTTAGAAATTAATCTTGTAAATACTCTAAAATTCAAAAACTAAATGTGTGATTTTACCATGCCAAAATTCAACAATTTCCACTACTTTTCGGTGCATTAATTGTGCACTTTCGGTGCATAGTCAAATTTTCAACATCAAATACGTTAACACAATGGTTTACTGAAGTGCTCACTGAACATCTTTCCTTGCTTGGACTAACAGAACTCTGCTAAATTGACCGTCCCCGGAGGAGCTAGTGTGGCATGCAGCACTGCTAAAGCTGTTGAGTGAGATGCTGCTTGGAAAAACAACCTCGACCCCTCAGGCCGGGCTGCTTTGGGCGTTCATCTCTCTCCTTAAGATGCCGAAACTCCTCTCAGCAACAAGCCATCCAAGGTTATAGATAGTACGATGGAAATTCCTGGTGTTGCCATGCAAAGCTAGTGCCTACTTAAAGGAATCAAATCGTGTCGACTTATAATAAGGGAGTAGAATCTGTGTGGCATGTCCATCGAACTTCGGAATGCGTTGCTGTATAATATAGGCGATGTATACCGGTACTAAAAGATTCCGAAATCGTCCGATCATCTTTGTTATCATCAAGGCTATTGTTTCCTATGTTTTCTACGTGTGTAATCGATATTCTGTGGTGGAAGTTAATCATGTATGAGAGTCTTCCCTTTTGTTGGTGTAATGTGAAAGATCTTGAGCTTTCTTCTCCTTTACAAAAATCTTGCTCCCACCCCAAAGACTGTAATATCAGATAAATTGGAACTAAACAATAATTCAACAAGAAACATGTTGTCCCTACTAGTTTAATGGAGCATCGTTTAACCTGTCTAAATCTTGAAGATAACATCAGATTTGACTTGAAATAACTAATACGTATCACCATCAGAATAAATAAGCACGAAATAAGCTTATTTCTTTCATAAACACTATAAATACAGGGTCGAGTGCAGTTTTGCACCGTCTGCAAACCTATAATCACAATTAGTACTAGTTATTAATTATACAATACGTAAACCACAAGCAACTTAATGGAACAAGGCAGCATAAAATAGTTCATTCCAAGTATCAGGCAATCCAGGGAGGCACCAATGGCTACAATCAGCTGAGCGGTCCGGCTTAGCCCTCTGAGCAGGGCTCAAACCACCACTGTAAATTGAAGGGTGCCCATCTTTCCTGAGCTCAGAAAGCATGGTTATGTCCAACAAATATGTAGGGGCGTGCATTTCTCCGATGACTTCATCCACCACTCTCTTCTGGTTAGGGTACGTGCCGGGGTAGGCAGTTCCGGTCATTGGCGCTGTTTCTCCGTAACAGTTTTTCGTCGCCACCGTGGTTGCTCTAGCGCTCCATTCAGTCGGACTGTCAAAATCATTTCATCAAAGATCATATAACTTATGTCACAAATCATACATACAAATTTTTTGTCGTTCATACATCATGTGCATTTTGTGAGAGACTATACTAGAGGGGCAGTGGTCCACCAAAATTTGTCGTACTTGATTGCGTTATTTCTCAACTGTAAAATAAAGGGTAAAATTCCCACCGACACAAAGAGTGGGTAAGAAAGACACTTTCCTCACTGCTTCACGGATTGTGAAAGAAAAAACAAACAAACAGTTAAAATCAACTGAACACTTTAATTAATTAAAGTAAATTTAACTATCTCATGAAACATGGGAAGATAAGGTGAGAACATGTGGAGGGTAATATTGATAAACATGAAGGATCCACAGTTGTGCAATGATTTTTTCTTTCAGTTGTTGCCAGTTTAAAACATTTTGGTAAATGAAGACATTGTTTATTATAGCAAGGAACAACTGATGAACAAGTAGCTGATAAAGTTAGTTTTTGAGACGGGAGTTTGGTTTCTAACTCCTCCAATTTGTCTGGTTACATTTATGACGTAATTATAGCAATGTCTGCAAGTTGCCAATGGCTCACTCTATTCGATAATCTTAGAGAGAGAAAGAGAGAGAGAGACTTACTCATAGTGTGTAGGGGAAATTGATTGGAAAAAGACTCTGGTTTTAGTTGTGTCGACATTGTTGTCGACCCAATTAGCCCATGTTCTCAACCCTTTGTCCAATGCAACCAAACGATCAATGTCCTTGTAATATTTACCCCCCGTTTCGATCAAATCCCACCTGTAACATACGTATAATATACCATATAATTAATCCAAACATAGAAAATGCGGTAAAAGAGAATGTTGTTCAAGCAGGATGTGTGTGCATTGTAATAAATGATCTGTTTTTGCCTACCCTTGGAGGGATCCTTTATGACTCCACCAATGGCCTGTGTTGAACACCAGCACGTCTTCGTTTCTCCAGGCGTTTCCATGTGAATGTATGTCGTCTAACTTGAGAATTCTCCTCCCTCCAACCATATCTATGTCTACCAAATATGGAGCTCTATAGAACGATACCGATAAACCATAGTCCTGCATTTGTTATCAATAAAAACACTTGTCCAATTTGCATGCCAAAATAATATAGTCACTTACAACGAACTTGAAGGTGGAGAGAGGATCTCCTCTGCTCATCCGAGTCTGCATTTTGGGAGCTGAAGCTGAGATCATACAAATCAAAGACTCCCACTGATTCCTTCCCAGAGAATCACCAACAAACATCACGTGTTTCCCTCTCATCTTCGACAAAAACACGAGCCCATTGAACCTCGGGAGCACACAATCGTGAGGCTGCCATCGGTATTTGAGGTAATCAGAATCGGGTCTCCCGTACATTTGGCAGTTGAATTCAGCATCAATGAGTGGACAGTCGGAATATTTGTACAACGGATAAGTATCATCACGGACCCAAGTGCCGGAGAACAATGCACAGGTGGTTTGGTTCGTTTGGAACATTCGCTTTCCATGGTGGTTCTTCAAGCTCCAACCTGTCGGAAACTGAAACAAGGCTAGTAAAACAAAGGGTAGTAGCCATGAAAGAAGGGGCATTTTGCAGAGTCCTGTAAGAGAAGAGCCAGAAGAAGACAATGTATGAAAAGAAAGTGGGAGTCTTTTTTTTTTTTTGTTTATAGGAGATAAAAAGGGTGTGCATGTGAAGGGGAAGGTGAGCTTAACTTTGCGGTGAAAGTCAATATGGGTTGCTTGATTTAGACACTTTTTAACCATGTCTGCAGCTTCTTTGCTTCTTATCGTAGACCCTTCCTTTTCTGCAAGTTTATCTTGTTCCATTTTCACGGGGTCCCCTAATTTCTGTGTTTTCCACACGGTCTTTATTTTTTATTTTTCTTGGGTTCTTTGATAATTCAATCGTGGCTAAATCATGACTGTTGTTTAAAATCGTCCAAATTTAGAAAACTCACATAAAAGATGGTAAAAGTACTATATGAATCTCTCTATATTATAGCAAAAATTGCATTTTAGTCCCTGTACTAAAAAACGAAATTTTTCTCAGTTAAAAAGGTTTTTACAAACTATTAATATTTTTTAACAAAATTTTTCATTTAATGCTTAAAGTTGTTATATTTTTAAATTTTGTGTTTTTAGTCCTTGATTAAATTGAAACAAATTTGAATGTTGTTTGATGATTTGTCAAAAGAGAAGATACTAGTTTATTATCAATACCATTAACCAAAGCAATGTGTTGTGTTTTTTTTCAACTTTTTATTAAAGAATGACAAATCTCGAGATTAATTAATTGATAGAGTGATCAAGGATGTTCGTATTGTTCTATTTCGTGTGATTCAAATCTTGACATTTATCTTGAAAATGTAATATATCTCTACTATTTGAAAATGTGTATGGGTTTTTTTTTATTAGTTTGATGATGATAAGGTCGGAAAAACTTACTATTTGATAGTGACCGCTCATACATCTCTACAAACGAGGTGCTAAAACCTGAAATCTTTAGGAATAATAATCAACCCTTTAAAGGTCGTTTGGTTCATACAAACCTATAAGCTTCTTGTATTGCAAGTTGGGGGAATTATCTACTAAACAAAGGTGTTAGGGAGGGTCCAGAGTAGACTGGTGGCGACAACCATTAATGGCAGCACCATAAATAGATGGAAAATATTGTTTTACTGGTGATCCTGCAACTTGCACAACCATTAATATGGATACAGGATACTCAAAATGACCACAACATTATTCATCTTAAAAGGTAACCAGCTCTCCACATATTTACCAAGAACCTTATGCCACATTGAGTATCCATGAATCCAAAACTCAGCCTGCTAAAGTTGCCATGAACCCCTTTTCTTTTTTACCCCTCCACTAAGCACTCTGTTGGTTTACCTGCAATTGGAAAACAGGGTCAGGAACAGCAGTCATCAATTTTGCAATTAAACCCCACAATCCAATGTATAAGAGGATATACAGAGAATTATGGCAAAGCATATGCACCAAATACATGTTTTATTTTTCTTCCAAATACTAAAAGCAATATTAGTGCAGAGCATTTCTACAAGGATTGTTATCTTGCACATGTCATAAGTCATAAGGACTTGAATTTAATGATTTAAGATTTTTAAGCAGTTATAATCTGGCGAGACGTACTGCAGTAGTGCTTGAATCATGATTTTGGTTTCCTCGATTTGTCTTAGTTCATGGACTGAATCAGACCGATCATCATCAACATTATCGCTATGAAGTTCAAACTGGGATCCTGAAAAAAATAGTGAAAACTAAAATGTGACTCACTGCAGTAATTGATACTTGAACTAGGTGTGTAGGGAATTGGAAATACCAAATGATATGCTTGATTCAGGTAAAGGGTTCTTGAGCAAAAGCTTCTGGCACATGGTAGCACCCTGGAAATCTAAAAATGTATAATCTACAAACTCTAATCTCTCGGATGGCGTCATCTCTGAAAATCCGAATGAACTGGTCCATGTGCGTAGCACATCGGGTACAGCAGGTAATATCAGCCTCTCTACTCCTAATTCCATAAGCATCTGAAGAAATCATGCAAGAAGCAATGGTTAGAAATATTCAGATTCATGCCTTTAGCATGGGAAGGATGGATGATATCTAATCCCAGAAATTTGAACAATAGTGGATATAAAGCATTAGTAAAAGAAACCATCCAAACATGACATAGCTAACCTTCTCAAGTTTGTTCATCAAAATGCTGCACATTCCGAGTCGTCGGTGTTGAAACCTGGTACCAATCAAAGGCATTTCAGCCACCTTTTCTCCATGAACCCTTGAGTGGGAAAATAGAAATAAAAACTACCATTATTAACAAGGAAAATGTAAAAAAATTCTTAACCAAGGCCTTCGTTCCTATACAACAAACTACTGTTACTTAAAGAAGCTTACCTAATATTGGCAACAGTAATGAGTTCATCGTGTCTTTCAAGAAGTATTGTGTAGAAGCCTCGGAAGTTCAAGCGGTTAAGTTCTGAGCTGTAAAATTCAGAAACCAAATGGATCAGACATTTAAGCCACTTGCTTGCATTAAACAAACAAAATTCGAATAAATCATAAGAAACTACAGTATAAAACATTATGAAGCTCAAGTATCAGCGGTAGGTTATTATGGCCTACTGGCATAGAAACTGAATTGCTACCAGATTAGCTGTAAGAAAGATTAAATGCAGTTAATTTAATAGAAATCTTTAAAATTAGCTAATTCAAACTATCAAACGAATCACACAGAGGAGATAATTTTGCTCCCCTTGGGTGCCGACATAGACATCATACTCCACTGTTTGTTATTACGAGTCACTCCAGCCATAAATTTAAAACACTCAAGTTTAACCACATAAAAATGTGACTTGCAAATGAATGCAAAGTTTAAAGCAATGATTTGCAGAAGAATAAGACACCTTCTACTGAATATAATATCGGCAACAAGATCTCTGCCAGTGCGAGAGTCTTTGACAGTCTCAAAACACTCATGCATCACTTCAAGCGAATTGCTAAGTTTGTAATAATTCTCAACCATGGTTTCATTATCTGAAGGATCAAGATCATGACTCTCTGGCTGCACGGATTTAATTAATGTCCATGTTAGATTGTCTGATCCAATAGGAATTGGTCTCCCTAAAAGCTCACTAAGGCCCAAAGATATCTGCAACGAAAAAACAATTGTAAGAACTCAAAAAGTTACTGAAGACGAGAAATAACTTGTGCCCCAAGAAAGAAAGAAATAGCAGTAGCCATCACTCGAAGATGCACTACACAAATTAAAAAAATAAAGCTGATTGAAAGTACTTCTTCACACTTTTTGCTGCAAAACCAATTTTCTTTTGCACATATTCCCAACCTATCTGCCCGTGCACTGCTTATGCAGCCAACATGATCTGCATCAAATCCACAAAAAAAATTATAAATAAACTAATGGACTTTGAGTTATCAACAAATACAGAATTAACCTACATTTATGCGAACACTGAGCACACATGAAAAGTCTGTCATCCACCATATTTGCACCATCTTTAAGATTGTGTTGACCACAAATCCCACAGCAACATGATGGACAGAACCAATCACCATCTGGAACAGTCTGACAGACAATTTCAAAACACGAAATCAAAGATCTGTAGGATTTAAGAGAATGGAATAAAAGCATATTACAATGAGAATGAACTGATAATAAAAACAAAAGTGATACCTTTAAACCAAGGCAGTTTTTATGGAATGAGGATGGACATTGATCACATAAAATTAGTTCACCCCCATATTGACAAACAGAACAAATGTCATCATTCTTGTCCATTCGGCGATTGCGTGTCAACTGGGAATTCATCTTTTTTCCAAACTTCACTCTACTGTTTTCTATTACTTGCATCTGGCAGTCCAATAGAGACCTTCCATCTTCCAAGAATATCTTGGCAGCTGGTCTGTGGTTGTCACCGCCACCATGTGCTACGAAACCACCAAGAGTGTATACCTTGCCACAACATTTGCACATAATTCCATTACGAGTTATCCTCCCTTCTGCTTTTAACCTCTGTCCCTTCCTCCAGTAATGTACTTTTGACCGTGGCAAAACAATATTTTTTATCTATTAACCAAGACAGCGCAGTTCGTGGATTTTGATGCAGTGAACTAGGAGTTACAATCTGCTGCACTCTTTTGGTTGATCGTAGCACACGGTTATGTTGACTACCTTTAAGATTCTCTCTTAGTTTGACCAATGTCGCAGGTGGCTTTTCACCTTTCAATCTTGAGATGCTAGTGTATTTAACAGGTAAGTCAGCTCGGCCTTTTTTTAAGTCAAATGCAAGAAATGATGAACTATCCCTTCTCTTCCTTTTAGGCTTTTGAGTTCTCTGACTGACTCTACTTTTCTCAACAACATTTCTTCTCTCAAATCTTGAATAATACTTCTTGGACCAGTTTCCAGATTCAGTATTTGATGGCATTGAGCTTCTCTGGATATCCACAATTGCAAGCGCAGAAGAAAGCTTTTCACTTGCTAACTGACATTCAATCTCCTCAACAGCATTAATCTTTTCCACTGGTTTAGGAGTAGCATCAGTTTGAGAAACTACACCTTCTTTTATACAGTTTTTGCAGGCTTCCCGAAGTGACTGGTACGTCCTTCCTCTTGGTGAAGTGTAGCACAAATAGAGCCTTCCATTACTGGAAGCATAGTGAACCACCCAACCCAACCATGAGAGATGCTTTTTTGCCTTTACTGTCATATGACTTCTCTTGCATCTGCGAATCTCATCCAATTCAGCCTTAGACCAGTCCAAAACAGCTTCAGGGCAATATTCTGGTTCAACAAAAAGTCGCCTGATGTTTGGTTCAATATCGCATAGATGGTTGATGTTTGGTTCAACATCTTTGGTGTTTGAACAAATATGCTTTCTTGAGTGATCGGTCAGATCTAAACAGATCTGATAAAGAGAGTAATAAAGGTGCCCAGTAGGTGAGACGTATCGCCATCTGATAAGTTTTCCATCTTGCTTAGACTCCATTTTCCATCCCTGATATAGAAGATGCTTCCTAACATTAGTTAACAGAGAATTATTGGGTTTCTTACCAGCATGAATGTATTTGGCAATGGCATCAGGACATGACTCTGCTTTAGAAACAAGCTCAGTGTCCGCAGGCATCCATGTTGCAGTT